TCATATTTTAATGTATTTTTTCCTAGGGTAAATGAGCAACATTGTTATAAAACTAGGCAAAGTCTCATGGATATTACATTATGTCGTTTTAAAACTATGTATGGTCGTAGGTCTTTTAGATATTCTGGGGCACTTTTGTGGAATAAGTTACCTCTGGACATTAAAGGTATTTCGAATATGGTTAGTTTTAGTTTAAAAGCTAAAGGTTTGTTCTTAAGTAGGTTGTTTTGTTGATGAATTTGTATTACGTACGTGGTTATTTGTGACTGTACATTTTTGTAGATGTGGAATTTTATTGTAATTTTTGTATTTATAATGCAGTGCCAGTGAATCTGTTACCGGGAGTGAAGTTTGTGCTTTACATCAAGGACCACAATGGAAATAAGTTTTGTTTTAAACTTTATTGTGTTATCCTTGACGAATAGAGTGTATTCACTACTTTTTTGTCAAATAAACAAACAAAGAAACAAAACAAATCTGTCTGTCTATCTATCCATCCATCCATCCATCCATCCATCTGTCCATGTATCTGTCTATCTATCCGTTTTTTTCTGTCTATCTGTCCGTCCATCTGTCTGTCTGTCTATGCATCCATCTGTCCATGTATCTTTCTAACTGTTCATCCATCTATTTGTCTGTCTATCTGTCCATCCATCCATCCATCCATGTATCTGTCTGTCTATTTGTCTGTCTATCTCTCCATCAGTCTGTCTATCTGTCTGTCTGTCTGTCTATCCATCCGTCTGTCCATATATCTGTATGTCTCTGTTCATCCGTCTATTTGTCTGTCTATCTGTCCATCCACGTATCTGTCTGTCAGTCTATCTCTCTGTATTTCTGTCCGTCTGTCCGTCCATTAATCTGTCTGTCTGTCAGTCTATCTAAACTTTTGTTTGTCTGTCTATCTGTCTATCTATCCGTCCGTCCATCCATCCGTCCATCTGTCTGATGGATGGATGAATAGACAGGCAGACAGACAGACAGACAGACAGACAGACAGACATATGGATGGATGGATGCAAATATTTAAAAATTGTACAAGTAAATCACTTAGTTGCTGAGATTCAGCAAATTTCAGGTGCTGTAAAATCTCTTCAAGAGAACCCGAATCCGATCCATATTGTTGTCTTTGGCTTATAATCAACCCTGTCCTTGCCCTGTCACTGTAACTTTCTCTCTGCTAGTGCAAGGAAGTTAAATTATTGCAGCACAGCCTTTAATATCACTTCAGCTCTAGTTGTCAGAAGTCAATACCAGCACACTTATGGGCCAAACTGCTCTCAAAAATCAAATAGTGCCACATTATTATCATACACAGGAACACATTTAGAATCAAGGAAATAGACTGCATTGATTATATACCGCTGTGTCAACCTAGTAATGGTAGGGAGAAGATAGCACTCAGTGAGTTCACAGGACGGATATTAGCAGATCGACTATAGATAGCGAGAGATGGCGGATAAAAAAAATAAAAAATCGGAGGAATAAAACATTAAAAAGAAGGGTTACGATCAGGCAAGAGGTAGGACCGTGTAAACATCAGAGCAGCTTCCAGTAGTGGAGAGAACTCAAGGAGAGGAAGGAAATCGAACGCCGAGGCTAAACGCTTTGTTTCTTCTTGACAGGTGAGTTATGTTGATTTAGCTTTTTCACACAACTTTTCTGTGTTGGCTTTTGCTTGAATATGCTGCGGCCGGCATAGCAGATTCCGCCATCATCGCTGCCAGGGTTGTGTAAGTATGTGTGGGGCGGAGTTATCAAAAAAGGGGCGAGGTCCTGTTGGGGTAGGGGCGTGTTTGTTTTGGTGCTTTCAAATATCAACATCGTTTGGCAATAATCGCTTAGTGCACCTTTAAGTCATTTTGTTCTCAAGTAAATCTTAATGTAAGACTGTTTAGTTATTCATACTGGAAACATACGATTTGTATTTATTTATTTATTTTTTGCAGTATGTGTTTATATCTGACAATTGAAACTTTGATTTTCATAATTACAACTTTATTTCTCACAATTTGACTATATCGTACAATTGTGACTTTGTAATCATTCTTTTTTATTGTAAACTTCATCTCACATATTTTTTTTAAATTTAACTTTACCGCAAATTTGCAGTTAAAAAAAAGACAGAGAGAGAGTGAGAAAGAGTCTTTAAAAAAATAATAAAATTCTTACGATTTCTATTGTCACCCCAGGATGGTGGTGCTCTGGTATAATAGTGATTTCACCCCTGTAGCTAATTTCTAATTGGGTAAACTGGTGTTGTTGTGACTCACCTGGTGTTACAACACTCTCTGCTATGCCCTGGTGATATGTTGTGGAATTCATCACAATATTTCCTATTACTGCTCAAATGCTGCTCAAACAGAGCTCAAAACAGACAGAACTGGAGGGCCATCATGCCACACAGAGACTCTTTGAGGGGAAATTTGGAAAAGGAGTTGACTAGAAAGCCATGGCCTTTACTTTCCTGGTTGTGGATTCAGGCTTCTCTGGGGCCTCAGTCCCAGGGGCCTCTGGCTTTGTCACACAGCTATCAGCCACTGCAATGCTGAGATCCAGAGAGAGAGAGAAAGAGTGGTTACTGAAGCAAAGCATAAGAGAAAGAAAGCGAGTGAGAGAGAAGAGCCTCATTTGTTCCTAATTCATTCCTCTGAGATGAAATCAACGTGCTTTATTTGTCTCTTTAGGCCTGTGGATTGATTACGAGAGAGAGAACCTGGGCAGATTCCAGGTCTTTAGCAGACTACTCCATCTTAGGTGCCGTTTCACAGGGTCGGCTGAAGCGTATTGACTCTTGACACAGATAAAAGGTGCGACTGGATGCGTGTTAGAGCTACAGCCGAACGCTCCGCTTTGACACTTATTGCAGCTGCATGGGGTGATTTACATTTACCGACAAACACAAGTGCTTCAGTTACTGCTGGGTGGTAAATTTAGAATTCTTGTGGGAAAACAACAGCACTACGTTAAATTATGATGATTTGAAAACCCCCCTTTTTTCTTTCATAAATAATGACAGTAATGACAAACAAAAGAAATTACATTTAGGCAGGGAAAATAAGGCATCCTGAGTAAATCACTGAGAGAAGGAAAGAGAAAGCAAACAAACAGCTAAGAGGCCTACAGAGCACACTGATTAAAAAAAAAAAAAGAGTTTGCGAAGCTGTAAATAAAATGATTATTGAAGTATGTTTTACAAACACTGAAGCCCTACTAGGCTATGCATTATTCATTTTTTATTCATTTTTTTTGTGATCCTGGCTTAATGTTCTTGTGATCTTGAGATAACAAAAGTTGTTTCTTGACATAAAAAAAGAGAATTTTTTTTTTTCATTGCACAAATTACTAGAAATCGTGTACCTTGTAAGTGGGATTAGTGTTATTCAGTCATTTTACTTCAAAAGTTTGTAATAATTAATTAAATGTGTTACTTGCTGTTTCTTCATACGTATTGCAACTGTAACATTTGCTAGCAATTTCTGAGTAAAAAAGAAAAAAAAGTGTAAACCATTTTAGTGCATTTGCTATTAAAGCAAATGGCATGATGAAACAATAGAAGATTTTGCTTAAAAACCCCATGATTTTATATGAAGAGTTCATTTGCAAAAACCGATAACCGATTTTATTTTCAGAAATCACGTTTTTTTTTTTGCGCATTCCAAGTAATATCAATCAAACTGCATTTGGGTTGTTTTGATTAAGTAATGCATTTGCTATTAAAGCAAATGGCATGACGAAACAATAGAAGATTTTGCTTAAAAACCCCATGATTTTATATGAAGAGTTCATTTGCAAAAACCGATAACCGATTTTATTTTCAGAAATCACGTTTTTTTTTTGCGCATTCCAAGTAATATCAATCAAACTGCATTTGGGTTGTTTTGATTAAGTAATAATAACTTAAACAAATACAGGTAATTTACAAAGTTAAAGTTCATTGAAAGTTTACATATTAAAAGTTTATTTTATAACAAAAGCAGATAACTCCAACGGTAATTTTTTTGGCAAAAGCAGACAACTCCACATTTCATGTTTTAGAGTTTAAAAACACTTGTTTAATCTTTGTAATCTCCTCAGATGACAATGTAGATGCCTGACAAATGTTGTTGTTGTTGTGATCATAAACTGTATGGATGTGATTACATACAATACACTGTGCTTTTTCCTCACCATTGCAACGCGCTGCTTTTGCAAGGTTCCGTGAAAACGTTTGAGCTTTTATGTTCCTTTTTCGCCCTGAAGAAGATATCACAGGTTCATCAAGTTCATCAACTTCTGCAGTAAACGTGAACTCGCGGTGCCTTTGAAAGTGGACAAAACTGGCTTTTTTGACAAAATGTGTGTAAGGTTCAGATGGCGCTATATGTGGAGAATAATGCACGGCTATCAGCTCTTTTTTTTTTTTTTTTTGGAAAGTGGCATTTATTGGTTTTTGCAAATGAACTCTTCATATATTGTTTGATTTGGCAGGAAAAAAAAAAGTTTTTTAAATATGAATTAAGCAGTGCAGCAGGTTTGTTAAAATATTGTATAATAATAATATTAATTCCAAACTGAAATATCAAGCTTTCAAATCATAAAACAAAATGGCAAGGGTTTTGAGAGAGTCTCACAAATGAGCATCATAATTTCATCACTAAGGTAATTAAGAACTCGGGTGGATATTGTGCCAGATTTCATACATCCTCACACTGGTTTGCCAGGGCGATATTTCCATGAAGGACAGAAGCCAACACTCTCCTGTGATGGATGAATTATCCTCTCAGTGTCAGGGTTCTGTCACTTCGGTCTAGTGTAATTCATAGTTTTGTGACAGAGCCCTGACATCAGAAGGGATTCTGTAATTACCATTAACTTTAAATATCACAAGTTAAATGGGGATAAACGGCAATATGATGACTTTCTGATGCAAGTGACTCAATATTAATAACTAAGTTTCAGTGTTTTTGAACTGAAGCATGACTAAATACGTTGCAAATAGGACCCATTCGGGAAGCAGTCAGGCTGTGTGAGTACACATCTCCATATGGCTGAGAAAGAAAGCCATATGTTCACACATTCATCTCCCAGCGTTTATATTTTATATGAGGGCAGTGGCCACATTGAATTTTGCCCAGCTCACTGGGCATTCTGGGAAGGATCTCAGAGGGAATACTTAGCTGGAAACTGGTTGCAAGTCCTGTGCAATATGTTTCAGCAGTCTCGGATTCACAAATTAGAGAAATATTGTCAGGACTGAGTTACCCAGGACCACATCAGGTCAGAAGTCAGTGTGACATGATGCACATATTGCTGACCAACTCACAATCTGGAAAGATTTAAAATGATCAAAGTGATAGTAAACGACCAACCTAATTTTATATTTGACTATGTTTTTGTTATTGTGCTCAACAACAGTGCCGATGAAAGCACCCTTGGGTGTCAAAGAGGAAGAAAAAGTGGTTGTTGAACAGGAGGAAGATGTCATGGGAAGGTGTTTTAAGTTTTCATGCACGTCAGAAAATGTTTCCCCCTATTTTTTTTATAAGCCTGCAAAGCCACTGGAACATTTTCCCATTGAAAATATCTCCACTCCACTGAATTTCATTTATAAAGTTATATGCCATAGACAACATCCACAAAAATCAGTGTACTTTCAGTATGTAATATGTATCTTTGTAACTTACTCATATTCATTTATTTTATGAATTAGTTTTAATAATTTCAATAATTTAACATTTTATTTCAATAGTCTAATTTAGACATTCTAACTATAACTATAACTAACTTTAAGTAACTCTGCAACTGCATGTCAACTACATTTCATTAGAGTAATACATATTAATAATATTACTTCATGTAATCTTTACGATTACTGCACAATGGTTTTTCAGTATTTCTTCATTTGCAATTACAATTTGGGAAACAGTCTGTAATTCTAAGATAATTTGAACAAATTCTAGACTCATATCCAAGTTTTAATTCTCATATTAATAAGGTGATAAAGTCTTCTTCTTTTTTTTTTTTTTTGAGGAACATAGCTAAAATGTGTCCTTTTTTAATAGCCTAATGGTTAGAGAGTCGGACTTGTAACCCAAAGGTTGTGGGTTCGAGTCTCATACCGGCAGGGATTGTAGGTGGGGGGAGTGAATGTACAGCGCTCTCTCCCACCTTCAATACCACGACTGAGGTGCCCTTGAGCAAGGCACCAAACCCCCAACTGCTCCCCGGGCGCCGCAGCATAAATGGCTGCCCACTGCTCCGGGTTATAAGTGTGTGTTCACTGCTGTGTGTGTGCACTGTGGATGGGTAAATGCAGAGCACTAATTCAGAGTGTGGGTCACCATACTTGGCCACGTCACTTTCCACTTTTTACCGGTCTTCCACAAAAATCAATTAATAGACTTCAGCTTATCCAAAATTCAGGCAGCTCGGCTATTGACTAGAACTAAAAAAAGAGAGCATCTAACACCAGTTTGGATGTAGAATAGATTTTAAAGTCCTTCTTATTGTGCATAAAGCCCATAATGGGCCCATAATTATATTGCTAGTTCTCTTGTTAATTTTACTCCATCAAGAAACTTAAGATCATATAATACAGGTTTATTGGAGGTTCCCAGTTCTACAATGAAAAAAAAAAAAAAAACTGGTGATGCAACCTTCGTAAACTATGCTCCAAAATTATGGAATACATTACCATCAGATATTAGGGAAGCTAGTATACTTAGAATTTTTAAAAGGAAGTTAAAAAACTAAAAAAAATTAAATAAAAGAACCACAGCTTATCATTATTGGTTTCTAACAAATAGCCGTCTCAACTATAGATACTGCCAGTCACTGTAGATCATCAGGGACAAAGTTTTCGATCTTTCTGAGTTTCCATGTAGCCCTGAGTTTTGTGAAGTGTGTGCTTAAAACCGTTGACTGTCAAGTGTTCTGTTTATTTACCATGTTTTAGGATTTGACAGGCTCTGGTGCTAATCTGATGTGCCTCCTGCAATCAGCCCTGATTGAAACACCTGCCTCTCAAACCGAGAAATGGACAAATCAGGTATACATAGCAATCAGGAAGCATCTTTAACAAATAGGTAACATGCTCTTGAGCAATCAAGTGCATCCACTAACAGCAAAATGAGAGATGCATTTATAAATGCTTCTTTTCTGAATATTTTAAGTGTGATGACCCCAAGTTTGTTCTTTCGTTAGGATACCCAGAAGCCCAGCATGATGATGGGATGATGCAGAGTAATACTTTCAGAAACAGCTGCTGAATCCTTACATGTTCACTCCAATTAGGTCGCTATAGCATTTTTGGAGTGTGATTCTTCTTAATGACAACGACAAGGCTCTGCATTACCGAATAATTTACAAATAATTTAAATAAACCTGCACAATCACAATCAATTTTTATATTAAAGTGAAATATTACAATAGCAATATTTCTTATTTTGTTTTTATTTAGTATATATATTTTTTAATTTAATAATATTAAAAATAAAACAATACAAGTATTATTATTATTATTATTATTATTATTATTATTATTATTATTATTATTATTTATAGTCATATTATTAATAAAGAAAATGTAATGTTATTTATAGCCATATTGTTATTAATTACAAAAGCAGTAAGAAGAGATTTGTTTGCATTTTGCTTTATGATTTCCCTGAAATCCCATAAACAAGATCCCATAAACTTCTGTTCAGTGCTTCCGCTGTGGTACTGTAGATTGATCCCTGCTGTAAGCGATTTCATAAAGTGATGGGGACAACATTGACTGTGGGAAAAAAGTGCCCACAATCAGTGTCACCTGTGAGTGAAGTACTTACAGGTCGTTGTCTGTTTCTGTACGGGGCTTCTGTCCTCTCCTGTACACCATACATATTGTGGCCACTACTCCTACAATCAGACCGGCCACCACCACAACTCCCAAGATACCAACAATACCGCCAGGAGGTCCCTGTGGCATCGGCTTTTCTGCAGGAGAAGAGAAAGAAATAGCATCATGAATTGTGCCTGATTCATCCCACCAGGATTAAACAATCAAAGATTCAGAATCATAAATATAAGAGGTCGCAGGCTGACGCAGCACCAGCCGACCACAGATAATGAAAACATCACTGTGTTTCAGTCCTGCATGTTAAGTCAGCATGAAGAAAATGCAGTGTGGGATCTAGAATTATTCACTATTTAATTGTTTATACCCTTTACTCAGATACACTATTTAACCCACAATTAGGCCTAATATTGACAACAGGTTTCACTATGGAAGCAGCATGCCAGTCAGTGGCTTATAAGAGACATGATGGTTGAGGTCAGAGCTTAAAAGGAAAGTTCTCTCAAAAATGAACATTCTGGCATCATTTAATCAACAAAATATTATTTTAGGATATTTTGCTTAAAAATTACAGTGTGTTATTAGTGTGTGTGTGTGTGTGTGTGTGCGCGCGCGCGCGTTTTTGTGACAAATAAGGACACATGTATAATAACAAAGGTATGACATAGGTATTACAAAGGAGAAGGTGACTTTTCAGGACATTACCCCATGTCCCCACTTTTCAAAACGCTTATAAATCACACAGAATGGAGTGTACTGAAAATCTGAAATAGCACAACGTTTCCTGTAAGGGGTAGGGTTGGTGTAGGGCAATAGAATACACGGTCTGTACAGTATAAAAACCATTACGCCTATGGGATGTCCCCACTTTTCACAAAAACAAACCTGTGTGTCTCTGTGTGTGTGTGTGTGTGGTTTGTCAAATAGATGTAAAAGATGTAACATTTTATGCTAACTTTAAGAAAAAAATCCAACAGCATTCATATCAAGCACACATCTTTAAATTATTTATAGGGATTGATCACCCAAAAATAAAATAGTCTCTTTTTTTTTCACCTACATGTCATTTTAAAGGCATGCATATGACTTTCTATCTTGCAACCAGGGTTGTGCAACAAATTGAGAATGTATGCAAACTGAAAATTCATACCAATGCCTACTAGAGCTTGAACTGAAATAAGAAGTGGACTGGAAGAAATTCATCATATAATAACATGGTTGGAAATCAAATGTTTGTTTCATGTTATAATGAATAATTACCTTCTTTTTTTTTAGGTGAACTATTCTGGTTTTAATCTTCTGGTCTTCTATTATTTTTCAAATCTTATTTTACGAGACCTTACTGATGATACTCTTTAAACATTGTCAGTTTTACCTGTGCATTACAAGGTAAGGTGAACATAACACTTTAAGTCTGTCTCAAAGGTTGCGAGAGGCTACATTCTCACAACCTTTGAGAATGAGAGCAAATATATGTGCGAATTTCAGTCGATACTGTGGAGGTGTGAAGGTAAAGAGGTTTCTTCTGTAATCCTTGCATCAGGGCTGAAAGCAGCAGTTTCCTTTGTATTTCAGCAGATAAAACTCAGCCTGGAAACACAAAAGCTGCAGTGCGGCGATCTCCACAGGCTAATAATATCAGCTTCTTACTAGATTGAACCATTAATGTTTACCTAAGTAGCTAAGGTTGTTTTAGGACTGCAGTCAACCAACCACAAAAATATTGTATAAAATCTGCTAAAATAATCATTTTGTTTATTATTATTTTTAGCATGTGGGCTCAGCAAAAGTGCATGAACTTAGGTGCTCCCCATGAGAGCACTATAGTGTGTTATTAGTGTGTGTGTGTGTGTGTGTGTGCGCGCGCGTTTTTGTGACAAATGAGGACACATGTATAATAACAAAGGTATGACATAGGTATTACAAGGAGAAGGTGACTTTTCAGGACATTACCCCATGTCCCCACTTTTCAAAACACTTATAAATCACACAGAATGGAGTGTATTGAAAATCCCACAATTAGGCCTAATATTGACAACAGGTTTCACTATGGAAGCAGCATGCCAGTCAGTGGCTTATAAGAGACATGATGGTTGAGGTCAGAGCTTAAAAGGAAAGTTCTCTCAAAAATGAACATTCTGGCATCATTTAATCAACAAAATATTATTTTAGGATATTTTGCTTAAAAATTACAAGGTGAAAAAAAAGAAAAAAGAAACATATGCATGGATGAATTGTCTGTGAGTGTGTGTGTGTGTGTGTGTGTGTGTGTGTGTGTTATCACGTTATGGGGACCAAATTTCCCCACAAGGATAGTAATAGTAGTAAATTTTGACCTTGTGGGGACATTTTTGAGGTCCCCATGAGGAAACAAGCTTATAAATCATACAGAATGAGTTTTTTTGAGAAAGTAAAAATGCA